AAAGCTCTTCCTAGGAAGGATGGAAACGCAAGATCTAAATGGATAAACTTTGAAGTTTTAATGCGGTTAGGGGGGTAATGGGATGTGGTGAATAAGCCAAGTGAACGAAATACAAATTCTTAAATAGGTCTGTCTTTGAAACCAGGCTGCCGAGTTGAATTGCAGGGTCAAACTGATCTTTGTCACTTCTTTTTAGGCAACCATACGCCTTTCTCCTTTCATTTTTTGCCCCACAATTTCTGCCTCTCAAAGCCTTGAAACAAAGCTCTAATTAGTTTTTTTAATTTATGCCCACAACGGTTTGTTAAAAACAAAGACAATAATATTATCAGTGGAGTCTGCATCCAGAGATTTGCAGTTTGGCGTGAGGCAGTGGGGAAAAGGAATTAAAAAAAACCAAACCACCAAACCAAAACCAGAAAAAAAAAAGAAAAAAAACCCACCTTGAAACAAAAAAAAAAATTGATGTTAATTAAAAAAAAAAAAAAGTCTTTATTTCTTATGCAAGAAGCAACCCCTGCCAGAAATTGCGGCTCCCGCCTTTCGCCATATTCTGACCAGAAACTTGTGGTTGCTGTGAAAATGCAATGCCACCAGGGAGAACAGCGACCGCAATTCCCCCCCCCGCCACCACCAAAAAAACTTTTATATTTCTTTAGCGTTTCATCACTCAAAGGTAAGGGGTGTCCCTGATAATATCATCTTAACAAGCTCCTCTGGGAGGGGACACGGAGATGGTCGTCGGGGACGGAGGAGGCTTGGCGGGGTCCTGGATGAGGATTTTCCACCTGCGGTCACTCGATGTGAGCCGTATTGTCGACGGCGGGAAAAATACTCTCTAGCACGGTGAAAAATAACCCGAACAGTGATGTGACCTTGGTCAGCACCTAGAACTTCTTTTTTATTATTATTATTACTATTCTTTTATTATTTTTTGATACTAAAGTTACCAGCCTGAAGCTGACTCTTCCTGTTGCTGGCCAGGCACGACAGCGTACAAATATACCTGTTCTTTAGCTGCCCCTTTCCTTCTCGAAAGTTGCATTTCGCCTACTTCTGAATAAAACCCATGCCTGTTTAGGCGTGAACGACTTGTTTTTCTTCCCCCTATGTACCCTTGTGCTCTGTTGTCAGCCCCGAGCGATGCGAAATGGCCATAACAGACTTTCAGGTATCAAGAAGGGAGTGCTGGAGGGGAGGGGAATGCTAAATAAGTGGCTAGAAAAAAAAAACCTCATCAGGATTTCTTATACATCGTCACCATCTATTGGACGTTGTTGGAAATAGCTGCTCCTTATTTTAGATGAAAACTTTTTTAGGTGCTGGTAAGCCTTGGGTGGCCAAGTGGCTTGTCCTTGTTCAGGACACCGGGAAATAGCGCATAAATAAAACAAGACCATCATCTCGCCCCTATGGTTGGCGGATCCCATTTAGATCGTTTCTTTCCTCGGCATCGGCTGAGCTCCTGGGCCCGTTAAAAACGAACGGGCGATGTCGGATGTTCGAACAAACTCCTGACCAAGGTCCCCTCGCGGTTAGAAATGTGGGGTTTTTTTTTTTTCTCTAATGCGATTCTCCGGTGAGGCTTCAGGCTGTATGAAATCTAGGTTGAGTTCACGCTGCCCTACGAATTATTTTTTCTCTTAAATAGGCTGGGCTAACCGTTACAGCTTGAAATAATTCCTGGTATTTTGAATTATTGCCTCCTACATCAATTGTTTCCTATAGATCTACAGATCATTCTCGGAAAGGGTCCCCACAGCACATCTTTACTCCTGACAAAGCTGCCCCGGGTTTTACAATAAAGGCAAATAAAAATAGAGCGCGAGCTCTGAACTTTTACCCCGTGTAGGGGAAGGATTTCGTTTTTTGTTGCTGACTGACGTAAATCGCGTTCATTCCCCCCCCCCTAAATAATCCCAGGTGCGCGGCTGCCCTCAGCGCTCTCGGGTGCTGAATTAAATGGATGAGGCTGCGGGTGCAGCTACCCGGTTCCCGGGGCAGCGCGGTGGATTCATCCCGGTGACCTTCGCGGGGGAGAAACCCGCCCTTCGCCGTGAAATGCCGAGGGCTAGGTGGGCACAGCTGGGGTCATTCCCTACCGGGTTTTTTGGAGCGGACGAAGAGGTGACTTTTGTCCTTTCCTGGAAGGACCTGCAGTGGGTGCAGCCACCTCTCGCCTTTGGGAGCCGAGCGTGGCTAGAGTTTCTGATTGAAAAATAAAGGCAGATACGTCAAAATGAAACTTAAGGCTTTTTTTGTTTTTCGTTCTGAACATCAGCATAAACTGAGACAAGGAAGCACTGGATTTCTCATCGCACGCAATCTGCGCTGACGGTCGAACGCTTCCAAGAGGAGCCGCTCTGTGGAAAAAAAAAAGAGGTTTTTTTGAATACAAATATCGCACGTGCAGTAGGGGAACTGCAATAAACCATATTTTGGGATATTCTTTTTTTTTAGGATGTATGAAACTATTAAAGGGAACATTTTTGAGTTGCTGGTGTTCAAATAACACTTTCTGGTGTCATTAATTTTAAAAAGCCGTCGGCTATATCTTGGCCTGGCAGTGGAGGGTCTGGGGACCTCTCTGGGCTTGGGAGGGGCTGCGTCTCGCTTGGTCTGACAGCTCCCTGGAGGTTAAGATGGTATTCCTTGACTTGTTTTACCCCCGGCCCTGTGAATACTGCGAAGGGCGAAGCTCTGGAAGCACGGGTAGATGTTGCATGGGAGAAGACACGGCGTGCCTTTCCAGCTGGAGCGGGGAGCTGCTGTGAATAAATAAAAAAAAAATTAAAAATCCGCTGCGATTGGACCCGAGAGCAAGGCGGAAGAAATCCCCACCGTGAAAATCCCCCTTCGTCCCGCCGCGTCCGCAGGATCCCCAGGACTTGTGGCAGGCTGTTCTCCCCCCCTGCTCTGCCTCAGGGCGGCAGAGACGGTCACTGCGAGAAACCAGGGGGATGCTGGAGGCGTGAGCACGGGATGCTTTTGCTCCACCACGCTATTAACGAGGCTTTTTCTGCCGTCACTAGATCGTTTGGGCTGTAAGACTCTTAAAACACCGGTGAGCCGAACAGCGTGTTTTAGCTCTGTAGATCTGGCGTCTTCCCCTTGTTCCCACACCGAGATTTGGAGGATCACGTCCGCCATGAGAGCAGGCTAATGGCGGGAGGAGGCACCGCAAGGCTTTGCTCGGCTGTCGGCTCCCGGCGGCGGCTGGCCTTTCTCCTGTCCGCAACGTCACGAGTTAAACCTTGGAAAACACTACCGACAGGCTGCTTGGCGAGTCCTGGGGCAGCTTGTTGAAAGGTCTTGCGCTGGCTTGCCCAAGGGATGCAAGATTTTACCAGATCTGAATAGCCGGTGTCACAAACGAAGGTCCTTTCCCCAGGAGGGCAAGGATAAATATTCGGGGGGTTGCTGACAGTTATTTAGCAGAGCGTGGACCAACCAGCTGGCTGCCAGCATGAATAATATCTAATCCCAGGCAGGAAGGTACGGGCTTTTAATTTAATTTATCTGCATTCCAGTCAGTGTCTTCAAGCTGCGGGGAGATGTGATTCCTGGCGGGCAGCTATCGCGTACGGCACGAGCTGCAGCCTTATGAACTTCCCGGGTTTCATACCTGCATCTCGGGTCGCTTCACACAAAGCAGCCGGCTTGTCAAGTAAGAAAAAGTGCGGGTGAGCCTTAGTTAATTGTGAAATTCAGGTCAATTCTCCAATGGCAATAAACGTCTGCATCTAGGCAGGTGGATGCTGCCTCTGGGAGAGGATTCAGCTCCAGACCCAAACAGCTCGATTCTCATTACTCGTAACGCGTCTTCCAGCGGGGTGCGGATGTCTCAGACGCTGCTTCGCCTCCGGCATCTCTACGTGGGCAGTGAAAAGCGGCTCTAAATCCCCATTAATAACACCAGGAGACCAGACATGTTGCTCAGAGGACATCTGAAATGAGATGTCTGGATCTGGAGGTGAACCTCAGCCCTTCAGCAAAGGGTCATCAAATAATTATGACTTTTAAGTTTGGATCTATTTGTCAGCCGCCAGGCAGCACGCGCTCTTGCTTTGCTCTCTGGTGTAACTCTGTCAAGCGATGATTAATGTTATCCAGGAAAAATCAATGTTTATTTATTCTATCTGTCGTAGAGTGTGATTTTAGGAGCTGCTGATTTCTCTCGGGTGAGCAGAGAGAGCAAGCCTAAATTTATCTTTTCTCTCCAAGTCAGGCATCACGCCTAGAGCAAAGCGAGGTGAGACAAATCCTGGCTCTTATTACTGCACCATCTACATGAGGAAAAATTACGCTAAGGAAAGTCGCGTTTTCCAGTGCTTTCACCTAGAAGAGGTCTTCCTGGGACACAGGGAACAGATATTTATTCCTCAGGTACTCACACCGGACCGGGAACACTCAAAAGATGAGAAATAATTTCATTTTCCCAGTAGTTATTGTGAAAATCATGGACTGCCGTGTGTAAATGGCTCGAGAGAAACTATGAGAAAGCTCTGCGCTTTATTTATGCTTTATTCTGGTACGGTGTTGCCCGCCTTCCTTGCCCCGAAGTATCCCCCCACTTCCAAGTGTGCTGCTGGTGGTTGCGTGCACTTCTCTAAGGCTGAACGGGGAGACTGGCCTCGGGAACTTGGGTTTTTCCTCCCTCAAAGAGAGTTTACCTTGTACTGGCTTAAAGTGGTGTAACTGCTTGATAGGTCAAAATTGACATTCTTAACGTTCTCGACGGATGCTATTAAGCATTTTCATTTGA